AATTCAAAGAGCTCTGGTGGCATATTGGGTAACCTGAAGGTCAATGGTTCAAACCCACCAGAGGCTCTGTGGGAGGAGATGAAGCTATCTATTTCTGTAAAGATTTATAGACTTGGAAACTCAATGGGGGTCATTGTAAGTCAGAATTGACTAGATGGCAGTGTTCCCCCCACCTCAACCCTTCATCTTAGCTCTTCCACTTTACCAGTTGGTTGATCCTGAGCAAGTTATTTAATCTCTCTGCCGGTTTTCTCATCTGCAAAAGCTTCTGGCATTATTTTGATTAGCAAAATGGTTATAAGCACTTAGAACTGAGTGGCTTATAGGATCTGCAATGTAAATATTAATGGTTACCATTCTTCCACATCTATCTACCTCTATAGATAATATATTCCTTGCAAAATCAGCCCTTCTCATTTATTCAATGCAGGAGACATGCTGTTATCTGCTGAAAACATGGAAAAAAGGTGCGATAATTCTTGCTCTTAAGGAGTTTGGGGAAGAAAAACTGTTGACCAATGATTTATAATGTGTCAAATGCTTTAACAGAGGAGAGAGCAAAGTGCAGAGAATACAAAGAAGTGTGTAAAATCTAATGGTTTAGAGCAGATGGAAAATGGTTCACCAATATAACATTTAAGATGGGGCTTGATGAGTGAATATGTAAGGGCAAAATGCTGTGCTGCCAAGAACTGTGGGTGGGGAGAACCACAGGTGAGGCTAGAGAAGCAGGTTGTGGCCAATTGCACAAGGCCCTGCATAACCTGTTCAAGTGTGTACTTTGTTTCAACCAACGTTTGTCCATTGCACCACCTTGGCACACTGGGTGTGTCACAAATGAGTTGTCAAAAGTAACCTGTTACTAGTAATTGCTGAAATGCAGTTGCCTGGCAATTACTATAAAATTAAATTAGAATAAACTCCAAATAATGTTGAATGACAGATGCTAGACATGAATGAATACACACTCCACTGTTCCATCTATGTGAAACAAAAACTGGCAAACTGATCTATGCTGTCTCAAATCAGGTTAGGGTTACATTTAGAGATGGATAGTGACTGAGAGGGGACCCAAACATGACTTCTGGAACACCACTAATATTTCTTGATTTGGGCACTGATCACATGGTTGTGTTGTGAAAACCCATCAAGCTGTATACTTACCTATGTGCTTTTCTGTATTATACTTTGTTACAAAGAATAGCTTCAGGACACTTTTTTTTTTTTTTTTTAAATTTTATTTTGATTTGGGTGAAGATTTACAGAGTAAATTCACTTTTCATACAGCAGTTCACATATACTTTGTCTCATGTCATTGACCAAAATTTACAATGCAACAGCTCCCCTCCCACTTCCTCCCCATAGTTACTTTTCAGGACACTTTTTGCTCACTTGGAGTCCTATGTGCTTTTTTTTTTTTGGAGAAGGGTAGAGGGTAGAGTTATGACTGCTCGCTGGGGATACACTGAGAACTCACTATGCAAGTATCACTAGTTACATGCTTTTTTTCCTGCCTAACTCTAAGAAAATCCCTTGGATACTATGAAAAGCCAAGGATAGTCACCATACAGCCAACATTAGTCACCTTCACCAACACTGGGGCTTGGTGAGTGATAAATGGACGTACCCAACTCAATTATATTGTTCACATTTAGCATTTTAGCATGTGAAAAGGATTGCCCTTTTCTTTCTTTTTTTTTTTTTAGATCTAACAAGGGCTGATGGTTCTTTATTGACCTTAAAAAGAAACATGGCTCAAAAGCACATCGGCACAGGCGTGAGTTTTAAGGCATTCAATATTTTTGTATCCTTAAGAACACAATCTTCTTTTGCTTTTCTTAAAAAGTTATTTTCATTAATAAAATATATGGAGTTAAAAAGAAAGAAAACAGTACAAAAGGATATAAAGCAACGTCAAATCTTCAGACCTCTCAAGGCAACCACTGGATAAGAGTTGAACTGGCAAATACTGTTTTATATATATATATATATACACATATATATACACACACACACATATATATGCATATATATATATGTATATGTACATATATATATTATTGTGATTTGGGTGAAAGTTTACAAATTCATATTCCATACAACAGTTTACACACATTTTGTTTCACGACACTGATTGCAGTCCCCATAATGCAACAGGTCTCTTCCCACTTCCTCCCTATGTTTATCTTTTCCCTGTCTCCTTTCCTACACATTCCTGCCCTCTTAGCTCTCTGGCCTTCTGATCTCCCATTGTTGATTTTTCTAAGGAGTGTACCTATCTGGTGTACATGTTCACCTTATACGCCTTTTCCACCAGAAGCCATGGGAGTGAGTTCAATTCCAGCCCTGAAGGGTGACCAGTAGCCATCTTGGGGGTTTCACCAATCTCTATCAGAGCAGTGTATCTGGTCATTTTCCTGATTTTGAGTTTTGTTCCAAACTCATTGCCGTAGAGTTGGATCCGACTCATGATGACCCCTCCTTGGGTTTTTGAGGCGGTATCCTATATGGAAGTAGATTGCTCCGTCTTCCTTCCAAGCCGTGGCTGGTTGGTGGGTTTGAACTGCCAGCCTTCTGGTTAGCAGTCAAATGTCTTAAGACGCTATGCCACCAGAGCTCCTTATTATGTATATGGACATTTTTACAGCACATCCAAAAACATATGTAGGATTGTCTGCCAAACTAATATATGATCATGGGCATATTCCCGTTTGCCTAGACATACCTGATCATTCTGCCCGTCTAACTATGTATCCACCCACAGAGATATGTATTTTTTTTTTTTAAAGACGTGCACACGTTAAGCACATAACAATGTGTGAGCCTGTGTATGTATTTCTCCCGTCCACCTTCCCCCATCTTTTCTTAAACAAACAAGAGTCCAATGTATGCAACCATTTCAGGAGGTAGCATATTATCAAGAACTGATGATACTGAAGAAGAAGTCCAAGCTGCACTGAAGGAATTGGTGAAAATGACTTCAGGAATTGAAAGACTACCCATTGAGATGTTTCAACAGACAAATGCAGTGCTAGAGGCACTCACTCATTTATGTCAAGAAATCTGAAAGACTATTGCGATGGCACAGTGGTTAAAGCACATGGCTGCTAATCAAAAGGTAGGCAGTTCAAACCCACTAGTTGCTTCATGGAGAAAGATGAGACAGTCTGCTTCCTTAGATTTACAGCTTTGGAAATCATATGGGGCAGTTCTACTCTGTCATGAATGTATTCACTATTATTTTTTACTGGAAATTGTTTTATATCCATAAACACAGATACATTTACTCATTTCACAGCTATATAGTATTCCATGGGGTATATAAATTATGATTCATTTAACCAGGTATTTCTTGTTTTCTGCTTTTACAATGTGGCACTGAACATCTTTTAATTTACATTCTTTGTACATATGTGTGAATATCCTCTAATTGGTATTTTTCACCAAAGAATACATACTTTTTAAATTATGGCAGAAATACTTCCCCAATGTATAGCTGCACCAACAGTGTGTTACCAAACTCTTAATCCTTTGTATTTCTATTTGGTTAACACTGTCTGTTCATTGCTAGTTTAATTAGCAATTCTCTATTCAATTCCACTGATCTTTCCATTTCTATGTGAATACTAAACTGTTTTGATTACTATAGCCTTGAAATATATTTTAAAGTCTGAAAGGTTCAGTTCTTTCACTTTTCTACAAAAGGATCATTAAAAAATATATTATAAGGATTGTATTTCATATTGGTTTAATGACAGATTAGCAAAAATACCATTGTTGTTCATACTACACAAATCTAATAAACACTAAAACTTGAGTTTACTGCCTCCCCTCAAAGATAATTACTCATATCAAAACATATAAATACTAAAATCACTTAGTGATTTACTTTAAAAAAAATAGAACAGAACTTGTACAGAGAGTTAATTAAGACTTCTCTTTAAAAAAACTACTAGAATATTTTTACACATCACATCACATTTAAATATTGGGGGACACCAGACTCAATTGGCACAATAAAATACATAAAAATCTTGCTCCACAACCTACATTGGTAAGTAGTGACTGAGGTATTAAAAGCTTCAATGTGGCCATCTAAGATGCAGCTAATGGTCTCCTATCATTGGAAGTGAAGAAGAGTGCAAACAAACAAACAAATAAAAAAATGAAGGACATTTGGAAGCAACCAGCCCTAGGACATGATGGACCTTGAGACCAGAAGAACTAGATGTGCCTGGCTAGCAATGCCAACCACTTGGGAAAGGATCAAAACTGCATATCCTGGATAGAGTGAGAGGAAAAACATGGAACAAAATCCAAAAAACACAATAATGCCCAGAATTACTGGTTGGACGGACTCTGGTGGGATCCCCAATACTATGGCCCTGGGATACACTTTGGGCCTGGAATAAAATTCACTCCCAGGGGCTCTCAGCCCAGTAGTAAACAAGATGTACACACAGACCACTCGACCCAGAGTGATGCATCCACATACTCTATGGAGATGCATCCCTTGCAGCAATTGACCACAGGGTACCAGAGAGGCAACATTTGCACAGAGGAAATGCAGGACACACAGGAGTGCATAACTATGAGGGGCACAGGGCAGGGAGGGGAGGAAAGTAGGGTAGGGTCGAGGATGGTAACTGGGGAATGAAACCAAATGGACATGAAATGTTGAATGTAAAACAAACTCTGCTTTGTAAACTTGTACCTAAAGCACAATAATAATAATAATAATAATAAATTAAATAAATAAATACCTCATGGGGAGATAACATTTCAAATTCAAATGACTGAACAACCATACATTTAAAGTGGTACAGACCCATATCAAGGGACATGTCATTTGATCTTTGTGTAGGCAAAAAGAAAGACTTGATTAAAGAAAAAAAACCTTTGAGCTATTTTATTTATTTATTTATTTATTTTAACTATCTCACTGGGCAAACTATACATCAAGGGATAACTTCTGTTCCTGAAAGTAAAATGCTACTGTTTTACAAATGGCTCATACACTTATATATTGCTTCAATATGTTTTAGCAACTTCAAAAGTGCTGTTGGATTATATGGGAAAAGATCTTTTTTTTGCAAACGGTCTATGGCATCCTGTAACTCTTCAAAGCATTTAACTGTTCTGTAAGATATCCCAACTTCAGAGACAATGCTGTTTAAGGCTTCTTTGCAATCAACGGAGAAGGAAGAATTAGATTCTTCTGCAACCAGAGCCTTTGATTGAGCCTCTAGGGTCATCTCTTTTTTATCCCTACTTGTTTCAGATGTGTCCTGAATCCTAATTGCTTCTTGGTGTAAAGATGTCTTCTTAATATTTGCTAAGCAATGGTCTGTGGATTCCACCTCAGAATCATCAGAGCTGTCATAATCTACCAAACTTTGAGAAGCTCGGGAGGAAGACAGAGTAGCAGCCTGAAACTTGGAATGGGTCTTCTTGGACATAACAGCCTGGTGGTCACACTCCCTCTTGAGCGGTTCAGGAGAATCAGCAGCAGTCAAGGAGGCCGAAGTACAAATATCTATCTGACTATCAAGACAAGTCCAATAATGAGGTTCTGGTTTGTTGGTGCTTCTGTCTTGTACAGGTGAGGGGATAAAACCACAAATATTTACAGCATCTTTTGATTCAGCTGCATCAAAGGATTTGCAAACAGTAAAAAAATTATACCAGTCTTTTTGGAATAATTTTAAATACCTAACAAAATATTCAAGAAAACAGGTTTCTGATGAAATCAAAAAATCAAGAAGAACTGTAGAATCAAATCCTATATTTTTTAAGAAAAATAAGAAAACACAGTGAGGATTAAAGCCATTTTCATGTATGCGACAATTCCATAGTTCTTTTCCTTGGGCTGAGCTTTCGGTAGCTTCACAACATTCTCTGAAAATGAAGATATTGGAGAGCCCAGATTAATTATTTTTACAAAATTATAGCTTTAACAGATATAATTCACATACCATGTAATTTACTCATTAATTCTTTTTAATCTACTTTCTTAGAAAAGAAAAAAAAATTTCAAACCCAATTTTTTTCTCCACAAACTCTAAATTTAAATTTGATTCAGAATTCCTCATTCTTATTGTTTTTAGCTACCTCAGCCCCTGTCTTAAGGCTTCTCCATTCACAATGGAACCAAACACTGCCCAATCCTGCACCATCCTATGACTGGCTATGAGATGAACCATTGAGATCCACAGGGTTTTCCATTGGCTGATTTTTAGAAGGAGATCACCAGGCTTTTCTTCTTAGTCTCTTAGTCTGGAAGCTCTGCTGAAATCTGTTCAGCATCACAGCAACATGCAAGACTCTACTGACAGGTAGTAGCTGTGCATGAGGTGTACTGGCCATGAATTGAACCTGGATCTCCTTCATGGAAGGTGAAAATTCTACCACTGAATGGCTAATGCCTCACTCCTCATTCTTACAATTAGGTAACTAATTTTATGTGGTATGGTAGGGCTGGAAGCTAATCTCTGCTTTCCTGCTACCTATTTCCCTCAGTAGGTGTGGGCATGTAACCCAGACTGACCTATCAGAGTACTCTATGCTCCTGGCCACATGACTAGTTCTGACAAGAATTTGTGACCCAATAATCAGATGTTCCCTGAGACTTGCTGGAGCTACTAAAGATTATAATTGTAAGGCTAATTAATATAAGCATGAAATTGTGGGTGCCATGCCTAAGAATAAATTCAGAGTTGTGAGAGAAAGAGAAATAATCATTAATATGATTTTGAATCCCTAGACATACAAGCATGCCTGATGCCAACTTGACCCTTTGAAATTCCTAATTATAAGCCAATAAATACCCTTTCCCCCACAGCAGACTAGTTTGGGTTGGTTTCTATTATTTACAACCAAGAAATCTTTGTTGCTGTTGCTATGTGCTGTCGAGTCGGACCCGACTCATAGTGACCCCACCTTAGGTTTCCAAGGCGGTATCACTATGGAAGCAGATTGCCCAACCTTCCTTCCGAGGAGAGGATGGTGGGTTTGAACTGCTAGCCTTCTGGTTAGCAGTCAAGTGCCTTAGGCACTATGCTACCAGAACTCCCCAAGACATCTTGGTTAAGATTAAGAAATCTTAATATAACTATACTAAATATATATATATATATATATGGGAGCGCTGGTAGCATAGTGGCTAAGACACTTGCCTACTAACCAGATGGCTGGCGGTTCAAACCCACCAGCCACTCCTTGGAAGGAAGGTTGGGCAATCCTACTTCCGTAGTGATAACTGCCTCGGAAACCCAAGGAGGGGTTGCTATGAGTCGGGGCCGACTCGACGGCACCTAACAACAACAACAACATATATATATATATGAATGACACAAGCACATGCCTCTCTGGACATATGGTAGCTAAGTAGATTGGAAATTCACATAGAGAGTGAATTTAATTCATAAGCTTTCTCGATCCTGAGGAGTAAGAAGGCAACTTTGAGTACAACTAAGATATACTTAATGTGTATTTTCAGACTGAATTTGTATTTGACCATTTTGAGCCCAATTCAAATCACATGTGGGAATTTTGTGTTCTTCATTAGAACCTTTTGAAAACTGGCCCCAAACACTTAAGTCTGAAAGCAGCCATTGCCAGCAGGGTCATAATACAAGTAAGTACTGGCAGAAAAATATGACACTGACAATCATTAGTAAGAAATCTCATTTGCCCAGGCCAACAAAGAAATGGTTACAAAGCAAATACTTTAGGGCTTTAATAAAGCAGAAGGAAAAATAATGTAAAAGGTCATCAGTTATTAACTACATACCAATTACAGATATTTGACACAAGAATATGTAATCCCAAATACATCTGTTTTAACAAAGCAGAAACAGGGTAAGCATACAAAGTCACCAGTAATATAATTTTCTAATCAATTTCAGACAACAGCCTCAAGAAGGTCAACAGTTCAAATTCTACTGTATATTAAAACAAAAATTCAGACCATCTCCTTTGACTGCTTGTAAGTTCATACTCACCTTCATAAAGGCAAAAATCATAATTAAAGTCTATAGAAGCTCAATATAGAAGAGTAGGTCTTAAAGGTACAAAGAGTTATTAAGCATCAGCTAAATTAAGATCCTGATCACACAAGTAAAACAGAGGCAATGACTAAACCAGAACCCATGTTTTCTCATTGCAGTCCAGTTCTTATAGCCCTTATCTGCCCACCCAGCCAAGTTTTCATAATGAGAGCTCAAATGTAATCTTGGTTTAATGTAGGCAGGATTAAAGAAAAGAATTGGAACTTCTGAGGAAATCACAATTATCTTTGTGCTTTCTTTTTCCCCCAAAATGATGGAAAAAAAGTAGTATGTGTGGTTCATTATTAGAAATATTTTCTGCTTTCTTGGCATGTAGGTGGTACAACAATATAAGAATTACTTAAAACTATACCAACCTGGTCAACTTTAAGTAGATGCCCAGTGATGCTTTGGCAGCTTCTAGCATGTCATCATCCTGTTCTATGAACACCCTAGACAGCCACTCACATGGACTATGTAATTGCAGAAAGGGTTGGAGATGAGGCTTTAAGAAGGTCAGTAACTCAGACATGAATCTCTGTAAATCACCTTCAAAAAATTCAAAAAATGGAAATTTTAAATTGTAGGCAACAGTGCATGAATACATTAATAACATCTTGTCTGTATTTAAAATAATGTATATAGTACCCAAAATGCATTATCACAGTACATATTTTCAAATAGTCCTGTGAACTAGAGCTTATTTCTATTTTGCAAATGAAAAAATGGAAGCTTAGAGAAGTAACCTGACTCTTCTAAGAGTATAAAATTAAAAGCACCTATTTGATATAGATGCCAAAACCAAACCAAATCTACTACTATACAGTTGATTCTGACTCATAGTGACTGTATAGGACAGAGTAGAACTACCCTATAGGGTTTCCAAGGCTGTAAATCTTTACAGAAGCAGACTGCCATATCTTTCTCCCTTGGAGCAGCTGGTTGGTTTGAAATCACTGACCTTTCAGTTACCAGCTGAGTGTTTAACTACTATGTCACCAGGGTTCCTTGACATAGATGCCAAATAAGTATTACCACTGAGAAATAAAAGTATCATTTCTAACATGAATTTTTATTTATATTACATTATTTATATTCTAAAAGCATGAAAACAGTAACAGGAATCACTGGATAGTCACAAATATCTAGAGGCAAGGATGCAACCAAAGAAAAATAATTAACTCCAGAAAAACAGAAATAGAATTTTCTGTTTGTTTACTTAAAGTATTAAAAGCGAAAAAAAAAAATACTACTATGAAGATAATGTAGGCAAAAAAACAAAAAGGTCTTGGGGAGTTTTAACTGCAGTTTAAAACTCTGAATTATATAAAACATGCCACCTAGTGTTTTAAGTTACAACTGCACAGAAATTTATTTAACGTGCAGTTTTAAAAGCTAAATGTTATCCAAAGCAATATAAAGAAGTCAGTACTTACAGTTCAAACAATCCTTTCATTTTGATGTTGCTTATTTAGAGATGTTCTTTGTTTTTCTCAAGTGAAATAGGGGATGTGGTTTCCCTAACACTTAAAATTGAATGGTCACACTTTTAAGTGGTTTTCTTTAGACCTAACATCCAGGATATTATATGCAACAATTTGTCAGTGTATCTTGTGACACATGAGTTTCCATTTAATTTTTAATAATCAGTTATCTACATTAGTAGATATACTAATTTTATGAAGTATAATATGAATACCAAACTAAAACCAAACTCACTCTAGTCGAGTTGATTCCGATTCATAGTGCTCTTATGGGATAGACTAGAACTGCCTCATAGGGTTTCCAAGTCTGCAAATCTTTACAGAAGCAGACTGCCTACATCTTTCTCCCATGGAGCTGTTGGTGTATTTGAATCGTCAACCCTTCTGTTGGTGGTCAAGCACTTTAACCACTGTGCCACCAGGGCTCATAGTATGAGTAAGATACTACAAATATTTGAATTTGAATTGACTTATATCACTTATTTTGAGTAGACTTAAAGTTTTCTCTTTTTTTAACCTAAGCCATACATTTGTTGTTGTTGTGAGGTCCCGTGGAGTCGGCTCTGACTCATAGTGACCTTATGTGCAACAGAACAAAAACTACCCAGTCATGCACCATTCTCACAATCCTTGCTGTATTTGAGCCCATCTTTGCAGCCACTTTGTCAATCCATCTCATTGAGGGTCTTTCCCTTTTTTGTTGACCCTCCACTTTACCAAACACGATACCCTTCTCCAGGGACTGGGCCCTTCTGACAACATGAGACAAGCAGGTGAGACTTCTTGGAAGTCACTTTACGCTTTCAAGGAGCATTCCATCTGCACTTCCTTCAGGGCACATATATTTGTTCTGCTGGCAGTTTATTATGTTATACAAACTCAGGTTAACATACAAAAAGCTGTTTTTTAAGGAAATCTTAGTTCTCTTTTTTGGAAGGAAAGTTAATAAAACATAACTAGTTTAAACAAAATGACTGCTAGCCAGAAGGCTGGTGGTTCAAACCCACCAGCCACTCCTCAGAAGGAAGGTTGGGCAATCTGCTTCTGTAGTGAAACTGCCTCGGAAGCCCAAGAAGGGGTCACTGTAAGTCGGACCCGACTCCACGGCAATGAGTTTGATTTTTTTTTTTTTAGTTTAAACAAATTAGTGGAATTTATACTGGTCCTGGGAGTTGATCATTACGAGTTATTTTACTTAAGTAATTATAAATTACATAAAGAGGATTTCAGAGAATTACCTTGCATTTCATTTGGTGAAGTACAATTTTGAAATTTGATTTCTAAGGATTTAATTAAAACTAAGGTTGCTGCTCTAAGGATCACATGATCCGGACCAGAATTACTTTCATATCCAGGCTGAACATCATCGCCTCCAAAGTAGAAAGATTTTCCATTAACAGACAATGTCTTCAACCATCCTACACCCACAGCTTGTAAAACAGCATTCGCTACAGCCAACATGTCTATATCTAAAAGATCATCTGGTGGCATTAAGACAGGAACACATCCATGAAAGAGGTCTTCACCTACTTTACAGAGAAAGCACTTTTTAATGAATATGATGAATTTCCTTTTGATGAAAGCTGGAGCAGGCCATGTAAGAACATCTAGTACACAAGAAGGTTTCAAAAAGAAAATCCTCTGGCAAGTGAAATGTAACTTCAGGTAAATTCGGGAGGCTACAAGAAGTTCAAGCAACTCCAGGAAATTCATCAAGCTGTTTATTATTTTTGAAGTTTCTTGGCAGTTTCCAAAACACTGAGAAAATAAGGAATTGTAAAATACTTCAAAAGTAGTATCAAAAGGAGTCAGGAAGTCCTTTAGAATTTCTGGAATTATGAAAATAGTAATTATAAATAACAGGGAAAACAAAGGCTTCTAACACACATTTACACAATAATTATAATCATTTTACAAGATGAAAAAGTAGATTTGGATTACCTCAGACATAAACAAACAAGGCTACAAAAATTAACAGCTAACAACCATCATTATAATTTTTACAAATATAAATAGCATCAGACTATATGAGGAATAATAGTAATGAAAAGCTTTATTTTTTCCTTATTTGCCTTTTGAAAGGCATGTATCCTCAATTAAAAAATCATGGGGAGAGATTCTTTAATTTTTCATACATCAAAACAGATCCCCCCCCCAAAAAAAAACATCCCAAACCCACTGCCACTGAGTCAATTCCAACTCATAGTGACCCTACAGGACAGAATAGAACTGCCCCATTGAGTTTGCAAGGCCATAAATCTTTATGGAAGCAGATGGCCTCATCTTTCTCCTGTGGATCAGCTGGTGAATTCAAATTGCTGACTTTTCAGTTAGCTCTCCAATGCTTTAACCACAGCACCACCAGAGCTCCTTCAAGACAGATTAAATGTTGTAAAATAAGTCCTGATTTATACTGTAAATACTATGCTCCTTGGGAGCAAGATGATGACAATCATTTATACAAAAACAAATAATTCCTACCTGTTTTTTGTGAACATGTATCTTTAAAGATTTCTTTTATTACAACTGTAAGAGTGCAAAGGCAGTATACAACCTTATCACTCTCAGAGAATTCAGAAAGATTTTTCTGGCAAAAAGTAATCCAAGAATTGCTTAATGTTATCTACGAGTGAAAAAATAAAGACAGTAAGTTATGATACAATATTTTCTTAACAATTATAAATTAGCTATCATGCACAATACAACTCTATACAACATTGCATATGAATTTGTAAAAATAAAGAAGTATGATGATACTTGGTAAAAGAAGAAGAACAGAAATATCCTAATATTCAGTAAGTCACGGAATTCAGTATGCCATAGAAATAGAGGACCAGAAGGACACATGAAAATATCAGGTAGTAGAATGATGTATAATTTTATTTTATTCTTTATACTTTTCTGCATTTTCTACCATGAATATTATAGCTCTTATATTCAGAAAATAAAAACCACGTTATTATAAAAAAGAAATAAGTTATTATATCTGAAAGATCACAAATAGATTTGGTTATTAAGCAACTCAGAGTTAAGAGAAAAACCTAATGCTGAGTTTGTTTCTATCATTCATTATTATGAGGACCATTCTTAGAATGTATTTATATTAAATTTTTGAAAATGAATCTTGATTTCAAGTAGAGGTCCTAAACGTTTTTTCTTTCTCTAATTTTTCTGGAGGGTGGGCAGGGCACAGGAATAGGAAAAGGGGGCCTACCTACTCTTTGAGAATCTGAGGAAAGTTATGGAATCTCTGCTCTCAAGATATGCACTGATCCTCTGTAATCCATCCCTGGGTTAAGAATCCGATATAATGACTTACAATGTATTGACAGAGGCCACTATCATATTGTTCTATTTTCCCACTTTAATGGATTCACTTATGTATTATATGAGCAAAACATTTTATTAACAAATAGTTAAAAGATAAAATCAAATGACAAGGAGCAATTTTTTTTTTTTTAATTGTGATTTGGGTGAAAATTTACAGAGCAAATATACTTTCCATACAGTAGATCACATACACTTTGTCTCATGACATTGACCACAATTTAGCACAATGCAACATCTCCCCTCCCACTTTCTCCCGACAGTTACCTCTTCCCTGTGTCCATCACTCCATGCACTCCTACCCCCTGAGCTGTCTCCCTGTGCCTGAGCAGCCCTTCTTTCTCTCATGCTTGTTTTCTCCAAGGAGTGTATCTACCTCAGGTAAATGCACAACTAATATGCCTATTGTTTGGCTGGAAGCCACAGGTGTGCGTTCAATTCCAGACCTGAAGGGCGGCTAGGGGCCATAGTCTCAGTGGTTCCACCAAGCTCCATAAGGCCAGCAAACATGTTCCCTGCTTTTTTTTTTTTTTCCCCAAATGATTTTGAGTTTTGTTCCACATTGTTCTCCCTGTCTATCCAGGATCTCCTACAAAGATCCTCTTCCAAGTGGTTAACAGTAGTAGCCAAGCACCATCTATTTCTTCTGGTCTCATAGTTGTATAGGCTGCAGATCGGATGGTGTACCAGTCGCTAGGACTAATTGCTTCCATGAATTTTTGGTTTTCTTCATTCTTCTTGGCTCTGGACGAGGAGAGACCCATCATTGCATCTAGATAGCAGCTTGCAAGCTTTTAAGATCTCAGTTGCTACTCGCCAAAGTAGGAGGTGGAACAATGATTTGTGTAATATGTTATGCCAATTGAGCTTGATGTCTTCTGCGACTATGGTCGCGAGCCCACAGATTCAACTACTCGGTCTCTCTGGGTAGCTGGCCGTGACCAAGCAGTGACTACAACTTTGCCCCGACAAGGAGCAATTTTAAAGAAAGAATTAGGAAAATAAGAATATAATTTGATTATATAGCTCACCTTTTCTCTTAGTTGGAAATACAGAAGCAATGCAAGACACTCTGCGGCCATGTGAGATAACAATTTATCTGAATTTTGGAACATATGTATCTGCAGAAAAGCAAGTACATAGAAATACTGATAAATGTTTTTCAAATTTTTATTTTAAAAATCTAAATTAAAAAAAATCAAATGACTTACTAATTTAGAATCCACTTCAGATGATTTTAAAAGATTTTTAATCATAACTCTGTATTTCTCCTTTGTATGGAATTCAGTTTCAATAGACAATATTCTGGTTATCATCATTTTGATGACCGTTAACTGAAGCAGTGTTATTTCTCGGGCACTGCTCATCCAAGTGGGTCTCTTCAAACACACTGGACCTACAGAAATGGCAGCCAAATTGACAGAGCATGGCTGATGAGTACCCCAGTCACCCTGGGTGTTTAACCACTCTAGGGAGGTCGCTGTAGAGAAACCTTGATCTGGAAATACTGGGTTGAGATAAAAGATGTACTCATGTCTGTCAATTTCAAGTGATGCTCCAAGAAGCACCTTCTTGTATAGTTGCTCTAAAACTTCACAGAAAGCTTTCATTTTGATTTCCAAAATGTATCTTATAAGATTAACCACTCTAAATACTAAATAATATGATCATTCTAAGATGTTTCTTCAGTAAAACCTGAAACAGGAAAAAAAAAAAATTACGTGCCATTCATCAATTACAAAGGACCAATGATTGTTTCCAATCTATCACCAAATCTCTCAAGTTAAAAGTATTACTCATTGCTTAATTTCTAAAATGGAAACCTGGTAAAAAGAACATTATTTATTTATTTTCCTTTTTTAAATTGTGATTTGGGTGAAAATTTACAGGTCAAATTCACTTTCCATACAGCAGTTCACATACACTTTGTCTCATGACATTGATCACAATTTACCACAATGCACCAGCTCCCCTCCCACTTCCTCCCCATAGTTACCTCTTCCCCATGGTCCATCCCTCCATGGACTACTGCCCCCTGAGCTGTCTCCCTGTGCATAAGCAGCCCTTATTTCTCCCATGATTGTTCTCTCCAAGGAGTGTATCTACCTCAGGTAAATGTTCAACTCATATGCCTGTCTTGTTTGGCTGGAAACCACAGGTGTGGGTTCAATTCCAGACCTGAAGGGCAGCTAGAAGCCATAGTCTCAGCAGTTCCACCAGGCTCTGTCAGACTAGCAAACCTGGTCCCCCCCCCTTTTTTTTCTCCAAATGATTTTGAGTTTTGTCCACACTGTTCTCCCTCTCTATCAAGGATCTCCTACATAGATCCCCTTCCAAGTGGATGACAGTGGTAGCCAGGCACCATCTAGTTCTTCTGGTCTCACAGTCATATAGGCTGCAGATCGGATGGTGTACCAGCCGCTGGGCCTGTTTCCATGATTTTTTGGTTTTCTTCATTCTTCTTTACTCTGGATGAGGAGAGACCCATTGTTGCATCTAGATGGCAGCTTACTAGCTTTTATGATCGCAGTTGCTACTCGCCAAAGTAGGAGGTGGAACAATGTTTTGTATAGTATGTTATGCCAATTGAGCTTGATGTCCCCTGCGACTATGGTCCCAAGCCCACAGGTTCAACTACTTGGTCCCTCTGTGTAGCTGTCTGTGACCAAGCAGTAACCACAACCTTGCCCCTTGTCACCTCTACTATACACCTGGAAATTGTGATCATTCACATAAACTTATAGGACCCATGTCTGCGAAGCCTATACATGTTCTTGGATAAACTCCCCACTTCACAGACATATCTAATAGTTCAGCCTGTCCACCCATCTATCCACCCATATACCCATGTTTGCCTTCACTGACAACGCAGTACTGTATGGGCAAAAGGATTCATCCATGTACCTTTCTCTGTCTTTCTCTTCCTCAATGCCACCATATTGGTCACTCGCATTTGATACATTGCCCTTCTCACCACCCAAATCAATACTTATCTCTATGTATCCAACAGTGTTCCCTCCCATCCTCTCCCACCCCTGGTAATCAACAAAGAAAATTTCCTTCCATAGATAAACGTTTCCTTGACTTTTACAATAACGGACTAATACAATATTTGTCCTTTTGTGATTGACTTACTTCACTCAGCATAATGTTCTCCAAGTTCATCCACGTTATGCGGTGTTTTGCAGATTCTACATTATTCTTTAGCATTGCATTGTATTCCATTGTGTGTATGTACCATAGTTTGGTTATCCATTCCTCAGCTGATGGACCCGTAGGTTGTTTCCATCTTTTGGCTATTGTAAATAGTGCTGCGATGAACATGGGTGTGCATATATCTGTTCTTGTCATGGCTCTCACTTCTTTAGGG